TCAGTGATCTGTGGCTGTGTGAGCACCTGCTTGTGACATATTGCACTGAATACATAGAGGATGTTTGGGTGGTAATTAGGGTGTTAAAGTGTTAATGCGTGCTCTAACTTTAAAATGGAAAGTGCATTAATTTGTCCTAATCAGATTAACCATGATTTCCTGTTCATGTCACTGGACACTTCTCATTTGTAGACAGTTATGTAGCTTTAAAACAGCCGTTTAAGAAGCTGACCTGTGTCTAGGATGTAGAACATTGACATGGAGATGATACAGTAAGTGCACTTTTTACTGTTTGCATCCGGGCATCATTCATCTCATCATTACCTTGCATTTAAAAAAGGAAAACTACTTTTCTTTTAGTTCATACATCACTGGACTTATCAAAGTAACTGCAGAGATCTTGGAATGTGGAGACATCACTAAAAATAGGTCCAACAAGTCAACAAGAACAAGCAGTCGTGTTACTTTGGTGAGTACAATGTTCGCAGAACTGATTGATTTCTGCGGCACATTTAAATATGCATCATATTTCTTTCACATCAGGACACTGTTACTAGTTTGTTTTGTAAATGAACTTGTAATGGGTCTAAGTGTTCAAGGACTGAAATGCTACCTACAAGCCTGCTGCTTTACTTATGTCTCAAACCTGAGAGCTGTGGCTGTTTATTTTCCCATTCTCCATTTTATTATTGTTATTCTTATTTGACATTGTTTGTTTTGTTAGGTAATGATAGATTGGAGTGAATGTTTTGATTTGTGTGCAGATGCTGCAATCTGTTGATTTTGTGCCTCCTGAGATATGGAAGATAAAATATGAGGTATGAACAAATAAACCAGAGTGCAATCTCAATAAAAACACTGACAATGTTTGGTTTTTGTTGAATTTCAACATGTGATTAAATACATAATTAGCTCTTTTAACCCAGTTATGTTTTCTACTGAGACTTCAGGGAGAATGAATAATAAGTGGACCTCTTCTAGTCATCCATCTGGCTCTAGTACCTGGTTCATGCGCAGGTAATCAGTGAGCGAGAGGTTCTGGTTTCGGTACCAGCAAACATGTGTGATGGTGTTTGGTCTTTGGCCCTGACCGAGGAGATAGCGAGGAGGAAGCTCTGGTGAGACAGCCGGAGAGCCGAAGACTGAGAGGGTGAAGAGAAAAAGGGGAGAAAGGGTGTAGAGAAAGTGTTAGTAGTTAGCTTCAGAGAGGAAGAAATGGGAAAGAAAGAGCAGGAAGGAAGTCCTCCAGGTCTGTGGAGTAAGAATGTTAGTGTCAGAGAAATGATGACCCAACCTTTCGTGCATACAAATTAATATATTGTCAACAGCATGGGAAAACAAGAACAAAGAGCAGAAACACAGGATATTAACAGTCACCAGGGGGAAAAAAGGACATGAAAGAAAAGTTGTCCACTGACATTGTGCCGAAAGTGTGAGTGTAAAACTACATCCGTCTGTGTTTTCGCATACTCATTCAGAGTGTGTGGATGTGTAAATGGGGGTGTATGCATGTCTTAATGTGGGCAGAGGAGGACTACCTCCACAGCCAGGCTGTGATCAGACATGGACACACTGGTGTTGCGGTGCCAGCACACGTGCATGGTGGTGTTGGCACGGTGGTGTGTCTGCTTGTCCAGTGAAGTACGGGAGGAGTTCATGTCATCCTCCGACTCCTGCTCCAGAGAGACCTCGTCAGACGATCCTGAGGGAGGAGGAGGAGGAGTAGGGGGAGGAGAAGGGAGAGGAAGTTGTTTGGAGGAAAGGGATTAACTGTACGTTTGAATGCGCGCTATATCCCACAGGAAGAACTTTCAATGACTCAGCAGAGTATAGAAAAGTCACATAAAGCACACGTTCCCACTCAGTGAGCTCTGTAGTTACTGTACATCTTCTTCACGTAACACTGAGGTCAGTAAAAGCTCTTACGGTTGGAGTGATCGCCGAGTCCAGCGCCAAGGAAGATGCTGGATTTCTCTTGGGACTTCTTGGCCATGTCAATAGCAATGTTCAGATCCTCAATCCACTTCCCCATCTCCACTTTAGAGCTGAATTCACAAAGATACAGACAGAAGACAGGACAACCATGCACTGGTTACAGTACAGATAGAATGTAAAACAGCAAATTACAACATGACAAAAAAAATAATTATTTGAACTTATTCAGTTCAGATTTATTAATTTACTAACAATAAACATTAGCAATTACAATCTATGATACCTGATTCCCATAGGGCTATGTGATAAGACAATATATTTTGTGTGATGATAGAAAAACGTCTATGGTTTCATATTTTACTCTATTGTTTATGTTGTTGCCTCAGAAATCACACTTTTACGGAGTCAGATAAGAAAAATATGCTCTGAGGCAGAGTTGCAATACAAAACAAGCGAGACACAGACACACACACACACACCTCTGTTTCTCTCTCCAACAGTTTGTTTTATAAAGTCGTGTGGAAGAGGCTTGTTGTTAATGATTCTGTCAGAACGATCAACATTGAAACCAACGTAGTACCAAAGGCTTTACCTGAGTGACCCGCCCAGGTAATTAAAGTATTACAAGTCTTGTATGTAGAATACAGTGAGACAATAATATTTTTGGTACAAGCTTAATAAAAATGCGCACAAAGGTTCGAAATAAAAAAAGAGAAATAATAAAGTATGAGCAAGTACCTCTTATTTGTGGAGTATATCGCACAGTCCTAATTCTCTGTATACTACTGAGACAAACACTACAGTTTAACTTGTAGCCCATTAAAAACTCCCCCCCCCCCCTCCCTCACCTGGCAGCCACTACAATGGTCCTCTGAGCAGAGTAGATGGTGAAGCAGTGGGGGACAGACCACTCATTTTCACTTTCCTCAACCTACGAACAAAAGAGAAAAAACATAAGCCAAGCTTTGGAATCATTCAGTGTAAACACATTTATTTACAATGAATGACATAAGCTCAGGATTGAAAGCGGGGAAAGGTGAGTCTAAGTCAAGTCACAGGCAGATCTGCCAAAGAGCCTCTAATGAAGCACCTATACGTTTCTGTGTGGAGGTAAACCATGGCGAATCCACATCCTGCTTTTCTTTTAGCCTCCTATCAGTACCCGAGACCAAAACACACCTATCAGTGTCGCCTGATCATCATCACATCACAATGTCCTGCTTATATCTCATCATTTGTGATGTCCATGGGGTTATTTTGGCTTGATAAACGTCTACAAACAGCAGCAAAGGCTGACATGATTCTGCATCTTGAGCAAACTGCTAGGTGTGCTTTTTGGTGATTGGTCTACACAAGCATGGGAGCATGGGAGAAGAAGGGTAGGGTTTGGGCATCCAAGCTGGCAGAGCTCAGAGGACTTACCGGTGCATCCAGCACTATGAGCTGCAGCCAGGAGTAAAGCAGAGACATGCAACGTTAGGGGACCCAGGCCCTCCCTTCTCAAAATGCTGCCACACTGTTTAGATTGTACTGACAACCCCTAACCTACACATCTCACCATCACACCGGGTGTTACTATTCTTCCGAGAGTGTTCCCAGAGGTTTACAGTGCTGATGAAGGTTAACGAGGGTCAAAAGTTAGAACTAGAAGCTTATATACTCACTATCATGCCGTGAAGGGGCAGCTGGCCGTGAACTTTGAACTGATTGGTTGCTGTAACACCTTTGCTTGTGTAGAGGAGCATGTCTGAGAACTGAAAAGACAACAGAAACCTTTAGAGTTTGTTTCAAGTGCACTGATTTGTACGTGTTGAAGCTTTGATTACAGTTTAAGTTATAGCAGTTTTGTACTAACCAGGAAAAACATTCTCTGTTGCAGTCCTTTCTTGGTAAGCTTGTACAGACATCCCTCTCGGATGAACTCCTAAAAACACAAAAAGCTTGTCAGATACTGTGTTCCACTTTCACTCAGTTTCCCAGCACCCCCTACCTTTTGCTCGCTGTTATTGTACTCACCCTGCCTGGTGCTGTTAGGTTCTCTATACCAATCAGGTCTCTCTGCAGCTCTGTCAGCTTCTGGAAATTCTCCAGCCGGATCAGACTACTCTGGAGCTGAGTGGCAATCTCAGCCACTTCCTTCAGAGCCTCTGTAAGGAAACAAAGACGATGTGACTTTCAATTTGTAGATATTTTGTATAAAAATCATATTTCCAAGAATAATAATATGAAGTAAAAACACAAATGTCTAGCCAAATAGCACTGGAAGAGTGATATGACTTGCACTGGAGCTACATTTATTGTAAGTGCAGAAACAGTAAACATGTTTGAGAAGGCAGGCAACACTCATACCTTTAACATATTTAATAAGGAATCTTTATAACAAAATCACACTAAATAATATCTGCCTTTGCGGCATATCTACACTAACCTTCTGGCTACCTACTGGGAAGAAAAGCACAGAGCCCACCTTCAGCAAGAGGTAACAATGAATGGTTAAAAACTGTTTACATTTGTAAATGTTAGCTGTTGGTGCCGTCAGGGGGAAGAGTAAAGCTGCTTCCTTGCACAAACTGCATATTTAAAAGCCATGAAAGTTTTAAAAGCGGTCCAACGCGTGTCATGTATCCCGTCAAGAACGTATGATTCCGTGATCTCCAAAACGGACACAGTGACCATCTCAAAACGCAAAAATATAATTTTTTGTTTACTATATAAAATGTAATAATGTTTATACAATTTCTAGCTGAGCAGTTCTAGCTGAATGTTGCGTATGAAATTTGTTGTGCAAATCAAGCCCATTTGTTAGTGTTAGTGTTAATATAATACAGGTTTGTGGGTGATGGGTGAAAAACTGAGATGGTATCATTTTGTTAACATTAAAAAAGGTCCAGTGTGTAGGATTTAGTGACAGTGTTGTTGCAGATTACAACTCACCCGTTTCACCCCCCCTTTCCAACTGTGAGTTAGAAAAAAAAAAATACTACACTAATACAATGTTTGGTTTTTCTGTTGTGGGCTACTGTAGAAACATGGTGTTTCAACATGGTGGACTGGATCTGTAGATATAAAACGCTTATTCTAAGGTAACAAAAAAAAACAATGATTGATGAGTGATTATAAACTAATAACTATGAATATTATATCTGCCAATAGATCCTCCTAAATGTTACACACTGAACCTTTAACGAGGACATAAGCTCTGGAAAACTGACCCTTGCAGTCGTCGTGATCACGGTGTGTGGGAGAATAATGCTTGCATAGTCTCTCCAGGATGAGTTTGTAGTGCATGAGGCGCTGGATGGGCTTGAGCAGGAATGTGTTGAGGGGCAGGTAGCAGACTTTCTGCAGTTCAAACTCTTTGTAGACTGTCTCCAGCTTCTTCAGCCTCTTGGTAGCTTTCTCCAGCTCTGTTAACACCTCATCGTGTTTCTGTAGGTAGCTGGTGAATTCCTGAGGTTAACAATAAACATGTCTTGCATGAAATACAGGACATTCTGCTTGTCAGTCAAACATGTAAAGGAGAGCTGGCAAAGCACTGTCACCTTAAGAGCACACATGTTCCTCATCATCACATCACCGATCCTCTGGTAGTCCCCTTTGGCGTGAGCATTAGAGCGTCCCTCCCTGAGGAAACGGACAGATTTGTAGATTTGCAGATTTTGTCTTTATCATCATCTCATTAGAGGCTTCCATACATCTCATCACACAGACAAACACTGAGCACCTACCAGAGAGCCAGCCTCTGGTCTAACTCTTTGAGGAAGCCTCGATGGAACTCATAGATGGGATCGATGTTGGAGAAGAGGAGGGTCATCAGGCCTTCGGGCATGGCGTTTTCTTTGATCACAGCGCTGCGGAACCACTGGGAGCAGGAGAGGGGCAACAGAATGTTGATGCATATATTCTCCTAATGAATAGACTGGTGTGTATAGATGATGAGGGGATAACGAAGGTTAAAAAACAAAAAGCAGTAATATTCTGCTTGGAGTTTTTATACAGGCAATTGTTTCAAACTATAACACCTTTTACTTCTGTTCAAAAGACTCTACAAAGACATCCTGCTGTTCAAGACAGTGTGGGTCATCCAAAGGAAATCATTATCATCCACTCGGCCAAGTCTTTTCTGACTGAAGTTTTTTAGGTAGAAATTGCATTTAAATTGGAAGACCTTTATTTTGGTCCCTGAAGGGCTGCCCCCATAACCCTCATTGATTTGAATCCATCAATACTCAATCACTTTTTTTAGCTGAGTCATTGTACAAAGAGCAATGCAGGAGAACAGCATGGTAGTATATAAACCTTTACAAACCAAGCCCAACTATAGCTAACAATAAAACTAACTCTAATGAAGACAGGGTGATAGAAACAGAGGGCAGAGTGACGCTGAGCAGCACGACTCGTTTTATGTTCAACACTCATCTTTAGTGCTGACTGCTAAGTATTAACTATGACTAGGATGCACACTTTTATTTTCTCTGACTGCGTGGAAGTCTGATGTTCACCATCACAGGTGATGATATACAGCATTTCTATGTATTATATTTCTAAATATTGGACATTCAAATTCAAGTCAAATTGGAGATTTCTGATTTGGGTACAGCCCTAGTGCCCTGCCTTCAGAAATGTAAGTCCCACAGGCATGAAGGCTGTCATTTGTTTAATGTAAAAATGTTTTTGTACTGAACTGAAAATCATTAAGATAAGCCCCAAGGGCCTGGTTTTAGAAAAAGTTAAAAAGTTTTGCTTTTCTGTATTTCTTTTATTTCATCATCCCCTTTGAAAAACCAATGTATACACACTTGTTTTGTATTATTATTTACTTTTTTTTAATTTTTTTTTATTGTTATCCTTTGATGCACATTATGAAAAAAAATACATATATTTTATTTTACACTGATCATACTATGCTTCCTTGCTAAATCCCCCCCCAAAAAAACCCAAACTGAACAGTTTTTTCAATAAGACTCACCACAGTGATGACCTCGAGGTCTTTCAGGTATGTTCGCTCTGTGGTCAGAATCTCTTTGGCAATGAAGTAGGCCTTGTCGGTGGGATATCGCTGAGGGACAAGAGGCACAAAAGTTCCAAAACTGACTGATGCAAAACATTCCCACCATGAGAAAATGATCATCTTTCCCTCCATTATACTGACAAAAGGTTTAAAAATCCCATCCCGTTAAAAATTACAAGGAAGTTGTGAAATCTGTGGGTTCTGTGATTTCTACTCTTAAAAGAGTAGAGTTGTTGTGAGGCGGGGGTGGAAGGGTGGCATGTAAGCAGTGTACCTTCCTCCTGCCCTCCTCGTATGCGCCTTCCTCGTAGCCTAGGCATCTGGCCCACCGGCCTCAGAATGGCTTGGCCAGTCGGCCTGCACGACGGGGCCGGACTGGCAGGCTGCAGGGTGTGGGTGGAGGCATGTGAAAGGAGGGGCGTGATAGGCAGAGGGGACCTTTGGGGTTGAAGGGCGAGAGCTGGGGGCTGTCCACAACTGAATCTGAGGAAGAGGGAAAACAGAAATTAAAAGCTGTATTAAATAGTTTTAAATGATTTAAGTTGTGTAAATAACTAAACCTTAAAGTAAGATTTGTGTAGAGGGGTTGGGAAAGTGAAAAATATTGAATCACAGAAGGTTAGAGGACTCTGCCCAAACAGGATAAACATGATCTTTTGAAATGGGTGGAGTTAAGTCAACAATCTCCACAGCTCTCTACAAGAAGTGGAACTTAACACAAAAGCACATTCGTGCTATAATATGTTGCACACAGTCAAATACACAACAGTAAGCTTCACTTTCACCTAATCTGTTTTTCTACAATTATCTTATTTCCTCTCAGAAAAAAAAAGCACTGCCTAAGTGCTGCACATTTGAACAAAAACAAGTGGAATGGTTCATCACACACATTGGCCACAAATGAAAGGGGAGACGGCAGAGTAGACCAGGGTAAGTAATGGTTCCCACATTTCTCCCCCAGCCATTGTTTTCAGAGCCCTCTGCAAGAAGGACAAATGATTCCCTGCCAACTTATACGAGCCCGGTTCCAATACAGACAACTGGCTCTGCTGCTTTTGTTCTGCCTGTGAGCTTTGCTACACAACAAATCGGGAGACAAAACAAGCAGATGAAACGCCGGGCTATCCTCTTTACTGAGTCACAGGTCACCACAGCTGTTCTTCCACTTCTATTAGAGAGAAAAAAAGAAGTGGGGGAAGGCTGAGAGGGAAAAAAAAAAAAAAAAAGTCACTGCTCGACCCGGAAATAATTGCTCACGCAAAGACTTATCAGGAATGTGGCTTGTCTGGAGGGCAAATAGTTGTTTATAGTTTATCTGAAGTGCCCCACAGGAAACAACACGAGAGGAGAAGAGAACGGACGTCGGCTCCGCAGCAGAGGGACGAGGGGTTTGCTGTGGAATGACTTGGCACAAAGCCTGTCCAAACAGGGAGCACACACACTCAGCTGGAATTAGGTTGAGGAATCTTGTGTACGAATCTGACCCAACCCCCAACAGCACGAGTTTGTTGCCTCACATATAAAAAGGAAAATGACTGTGTGTTGACTTGTTGCACATAGGCTTCTTTTTCTAATAAACTGGAGAGCAGTCCCTACTAATAACATAACTAAGTTCTCTAGAAGGACATGATCCACTCATTCTGAAAAATCAAAGGACTGGCTAAAGTGAGGAGAACATCAGAATTAGACAATTCAGAGTATGCCACTCTTATTTTTAAAGAATTTTATGTGAGGACAAAGGGATCACAAGTTGGTCCTGCAGAGTTTCATTTAGTTTTCAAATTATTTGGAAAATGATGAGGCCAAAACAGCACATCTATTCACAATATTTTTAGTCTGGTGTCGGAATATAACCCTCAAAACATCAAGGGACTCTTTCTTCTCTCTCTCACACACA